AATAATTCTGTTCAAGATAATGTAAATTGTTCAGAAAATTGTTTTCTTTTAGTGCCTTCTGGAATGTTACATAATTTTTTCTTTAGCTATTATTGCCAGAATTCCTATCTTCATCCCAGTGCAGGTGAAGACAAAGATAAAACCAATCTACAACTTCTGCAATAGCTATCACTGAACTGCTTGCAGAACTTGCCTGAACTATGTATCACTTGTATGCATTGTGGACTCACTTTTATGCATTGTGAACTATCTGTTGGTGCAACGCCTTATGGTAGTGTTGGGGTATTTTTGCTGATGGTGTCATTGGTGGTACAATTTTTCTAAAAGGAGCCATCACTGAACTGTTTGCAGAACTTGCCTGGACTATGTATCACTTGTATGCATCGTGAACTCACTTGTATGCATTGTGAACTATCTGTTGGTGCAGCGACTTGTGGTAGTGTTGGGGTATTTTTGCTGATGGTGTCATGGGTGGTACAATTTTTCCAAAAGAAGCCGTCAATTGGCTTGGTGTATCTTCCTCCCTTTTGCTTGTGATGGTCAACAGAGGTGAGACAAAGAACCTCACTCCCCCACTGGTACAAAGACCTATCCACAGGTGTGGCTGTATGCTGGACCACTAGTCAATGATGGGTAAGATCCAATTGCAATGGTACCAACCTAAGATAGGAGGCTGACGCCTTGAGGTCAGCTCATCCGATGATAGGTAAGGACCATATGTAGTATTGGACAACTTAAGGCAGGCACGGTCCCTAAGCCACATGCTTGTTGTTTAAACAGAGAGGGGGATATGTTGAGAGCCACAGCTGAAGGGGCCCCAGCAAACTTCCAGCTGCCAGGAAACGTCTAGCTGCCAACTGATTAGCTTCTCTGCAGTGATGCACATTGGGCTGTTTCCCGCCCTTTCAGACCAGGGAGCTGCTCATTGGGGGACTTTCTTTGGCTCCGCCCATGCAACCCAGCCAATCGGCCTCAAGAGCAGGAGGAGTGGGGGATGTTGAGAGGCTTATGGGAGGTTGAGAGGTGGTGGCAGTTGGGCTCTGAGAGAATTCCTGAAGAGCTTGTGTGGTGTAGCGTTTGTGTTCTAAAAATAAATTTCATTTCTACTTGGCAAGTGGCTCATGAATTGTGCCCAGCCAGACTGTGGCAATGACCATCATCACTTTGGTGGACCTGACAGGGGCTTTGGACCTGATGACAGGGACCCTGCTATTCAAGCACTGAACAGGTGACTGGAGCACCTTGCAGGTGTGGCACAGCCTGCAAGAGACATGGATGGAGGACACTTCGAAGTGGGTGCTGCACTGACAAATGCGCTCCTCACTTCCGGGCCTGGTGCCGGTGGCCCATGTCCTGGGGAGGGCAAGGCCTGTGCTCAGGCTGCCTGGCAAAGTACAGGGGCCAGTGGATCGGGCATGGACACAGTAGGAATATGAGAGGCTCGCGAGTCCAGAACCTCGGGACCTATGGGACTGAGTCTGGATGATGCCAAGGGAGCCTGGCAAGCCGTTGAGAACCCACTGTCCTCGCTGGCACCTGCACCTTGCCCCACTAGAATCGCAACAGACACTGGAGCCGTTGGATGGCGGCCCACGAATGCATGCTTCCAGCCAAGTATGTGCTCAGGCGTGAGGGTTGCAGGAGGGACACCAGAGGTGCCCTGCAGGAGGATAAAGTGGGTCGGGAAGTCTGCAAGGTGTCTTGGCAAGGTGGCTCCTCATTCAGAGCCTCTGGGCTGGCCCTTCTTTCAGCGGGACCATCTGAAAATGACAAAGTGATTTTCACAGTTACAAACTGGTCATGGCTGCTGTAGAGAGCACCATGCTGCAGTCCTTGAAGCTAAGGAAGCTCTCTACCCTGTGTTCCTTCCCATGGCTGGTCTGCACAAATTTAATTTGACTAGTGTTATTATATGAGCACCTGTGGTCTAGAAGTTTGAAGCAGTGCAAAACTGATTGCATGGGGTAAGTGATGAAGCTCAGTGGCAAAGCACTGACCAAGAGTATGCAAACCTCTGGAATTCAACTTGGGTCTAGCAAATAAAGCTTTCTTTGAAAATCTAGTTTCCAGCGTTCATTAGGATAAAAGATTATTAAAAGAAAAACTGTGGAATGATAAATAGGTTTTTTTTGCACTGCATATTTTATATCACTGCTTCATAAAAAAAGAGGGAAGGAAGAGTTAAAGAAGCTTTTTAGAGCCTGAATATCATGGTTTGCCCCTATCCTGCCATTTATTTAAAATACTTATAATAAGGTGTTAATATTTCATTAACACCCAACTGTGTCTTTTGCAAGCCAGGGATGGGATAAAAAAAATCAATAATAACAACAAGAAAAAACACTTTACACATAAAACACAATCCACACCCCACAGTTTTTTAGAGTATTGACTGTTTATACTCGTGATTTTGTGGCTCATGAGCAACATGGTTCAGTGGTCCTTCCCATCAGGAAAAGCAAAGATGATTCAGTTGTTGAAAGAGAGGGCCACCTGACACACCCCTCTCCTGTGGATTTTAGAATGTACTTCAAAATGACCCAGAGGCACATAACACTTGTGTCCCCTTGAATTGCCTGAAGAGAACCAGAGGTTCTTCTATACCTATCAGAGCTCTTCATGGAATGTCTTCCCAGCCCCCACCCAGGCCAGCTCCTCTTGACCCCTCCAACCCTGCAGAACGTCTGGGTCCAACATTCCACTGGGGTTTACATTTAAACTTTGCCCAACTTGGCCCGTTGGACCCTGAGCATCTGTTACAGACAGGTCACTCTCTGGGTCCTGTACTGAAGTTTTCCCACTGTGGAGACTGTGAGACAGTCTGTCAGGTGTCCTGTCTGACCTTCAGAAGGAGGTGAGTCTGGAGGGACAGAAGTTTGTTATCTGAGGGCTAGTCACCTCTGAAACCCTTGAGAATTAGAATGGAGTACTTCCCCCCTGGTCAACTCATTGAGCAGATGTAAGGGAAGAAAAGAGCCTTAGACAATGCACTTGACATGTCCCAGGAAGCCCCAGGAAGACTGATACTGCTCATGTGGAGGAGGGCTCCTAAGACCCATGTTCACACTAATCACAGGAAGCACACTGGGTCAGCAGAAGGGAGAGAGGCCAAGGGATTGATTCCTTGTAGAATGGACACAGGTCACTGCATCATGTTTTTTTAGGCAGTCACAAATGATGTCATAGTGGTGATCAGTTAGGGCTGAGCCCTGTGTCCATTCATCAGACACAGGGAAGCTGCCTGGGTTATCATTCTGAGAGGACTGAGATTCTCAGATCATAACTGGGCAGTGGTAAGAATTTCTTAGCTAGAAAACTTCCCAATGGGGATCTCAATGGCCACAGATGCAGTGCAATATATTCTCTGAGGGTGAGGCTGCAGGACACTCCAACTGCCAGAGCCCAGGGTCCCTCACCAACTTCCTGCCTAGGAAAACTTCTCCTTCCATTCTAACACTAGGTATCATTGATTCCAGAAGGGCAGGGAACCCAGAAAACCTAAATCAACATAGATTGTGAGCCTCTGGGGGGTCTTCTAAATCATTATAACTTTCACATTCTATGTGTATAGCCTCAGCTCATTGTTTTCAAATCAACACTAAGACTGCTTATCTTCCTAGTTTAGTTGGTGCTCCATGAAAAGGGAGCACATGTGGGATGTTCTTCATTTTCCAGGACCAGGTTTGAAGATGACTGGGTTCTTATGAAGACAAGAAGGAGAATAGTACACAGGAAGGGGCTCTACTCATATTGTCTTTGGAATTTAGGCAGGTGTCCTGATTAATACATGCAAGTGCTGAAGTGTGGTGCATGTCCCATTCCTTGACATCATTCTGCATAATGTCTTGGTGAACAGGAATGTTCTCCCAACAACCTTGCTACAGGTAGCAGCTGGTGCAGGCCTGAGTCTCTGTGACACTTTCCTTCCCATTACTGGGATTGCAAAGGAAAAGGACCTCACGATGGCTCCAATTCCTAGGCCCAATTAAAAAAAAAATGATGAGTGGCTGTGAAAATATCTGAAAAACCCCAATCCTCACCATCCCATCAACTTCATAAACCTCAGTGGCCTTTGCTAGTCAGCCCAGAAGAGGATCTAGGGGACTCAGTGTCTATCACATAGACCTCTTCCCTGGAAAAGGAACTCCCGGTATCATGGCAGGAAACAGTGAACACTAGGGATACAACAGGCCAGAATCTGGACCTCCATTAGTGTATGCTGTGAGAAGTGCTGGGAGAAGCACCCACATGCTGGGCAGGATGTGCTGGGCAGGGTAAACTTCAGGAATCCTCAGCATCTATCTAGGCAGAGATCTAAATCAGGTGGTTTTGTTTATTAGAGGAAGCCTAGGAAAGAAGTGGAGGGTATACAAGGAGTATTAGCAAAAGGAAGGCTGAGGAGGTGATGGGGCAGTAATCTTTAGAAACAGTCATCTTCACAAATGACCCTGCAGTACCTGCATATGCCTTTTCCTGTTGGAGAAGACCCCTTTTCTGATGGTGAGCATGAGGAGGGGCATGATGCCACTGAGCAAAGTCAAATTGATCCAATTCTAGGGAGTCACCTAGGAGGCCAAGAGAGTGTCTGCAAAGGATACATAAGGGGCCTCTCAGCGTCAGGGAAAGCTGAGTTGTCACAGTCAACTGGGAATCCTGGTGTACTAGAAATGAGTTTTCTCTGGGTAGAACTATAACTAAAGTAACATAGCATGAAATTCACTCAGGGACACTTGCAAACTACACAGTTTACCTTCCCACAAGGCCCTGAGCTGTGAGCATTTGTCCCTGGATTTCCACTGAGTAAGGAACTGGAGGGCCTCAATCCTGCTGCTATTTCCCCTCCTCCATTGTCCCCTTTGCTTTGCCTCCACAGCATCTGTATCGAAGAGATCAGGCATGAACTTCAATCCTGGTACCCACATTTCTGTGTTCAGGGGCCTGCCCTTTCTTCCAGCTGCCCCTGTGCCAACACACCAGCCATTCTGGGAGCTGCCCCTGGCTCCATGGGTGACTGTACACATCTCCCAGGGTAACTCTCTGCTGCTGTCTACTTACCCTGGATAACCATATTTGCCAGAGGTGTTTACCTTTGGACAATGTGGGCCACAACTGAGGCCAGAAGGGCCTCCTCATATTCAGAACATTGCCCACACTCAGGCACCCCTCAACTGGAGGGCCCCAGGGGCCTTCTGTGGGGGTGTGGACCATCCTGCTCAATTCCTCATGGTACTTTCTGCCCTGAGGACCACTGTGCCTGCTTCAGCCAGTGGGGGGATCAAAAACTATGGGATCCACTGGCACCTGGGCCTTCACCCTCCAACACCATGATCATTTTCCCAGCTGTCCCCCATCATGTTCCCAATGAATGTGCACAAATGATCAGGTAGAGTATATGGGCAGGGCACACCACCCACCTTCCCGGCTGCAGTGCCACCAAATGACTCCAGCAGACCTCATAGCATCTATGAGAACTTCCAGCACTGGCAGCACTTCAAGACCCTGGTCTGCAGGCACCTTCCTCAGACTCCCAATGTAGAAGTGGTTTCCTGTTTTCTTGTGTGAGTTGTCTCCTCAGGCTCCTCCTTGAGCTCTGCAAGGAGGAAAAGCAAGAGTTGGAAAGAGGAGTCTGGGATGTAGGAGAACTGGAAGCAAGGTCCTGAGGGTGAGGGTTACAAGCTGAGACACCTATATTCTCAGACATATTCACCTAACATCAGGGAATGAAATGTGTCTTATGTCAGGTGCCCATCACAGGCCTGTGAGTGCAGGCAATCTTTGTTTCCAATGATCATCACAATCAAAGGGAGGACTCATGGTCAGAGGAGGTTCCTTGGGATAATGTGGGATAGGAATTGAAGTTGGCTGTCTAATTCCATGTCTCTCCTAACCATTTCACCTTCCACCATAGACCTGATTGTTCCTGGAAAAGGGGACATCACAATCACAAGTGGGTTTAGGGGTGCTGGCCCCAAGACAGAACTCTAAGGTTACCTATGCACATCGTCATGAACTCCTAATTGGGACCCTCTGGTGATGTGACACTCAAGGGGAAGCTGTCTTTGGATACTGGATGGGCATGTTCATCTTTTCCCCATTTTGTAACTATGCTCCCAGGCCATTCTGTCTTAGCCTGGGCCACCATACATGATACTATGGAACATGTGGACACAAATGCAGGCAGGTATTCCTTTCTCACAGTTCTGGAATCAGGATTCCCAGGTAAAGGGTACCTGACCTAAAGTTCCATGAATGCTCTCTTCTCCATGCTTGAAAAGACAGCTGGGTCACCTCTGTCCTCACATGACTGACATCTCTTCAGTGTCTCCACCTTCTCCAGGAAGAATATTAATGCTTTCATGAAGCACCACCCTCAGGATCTCATCTAACCCTCTAAGCACTAAATGCAATCTTTTTTTTTTTGAGAGAGAGAGAGAGAGAGAGAGAGAGAGAGAGAGAATATGAATTTTTAATATTTATTTTTCAGTTTTCGGTGGACATAACATCTTTGTTTGTATGTGGTGCTGAGGATTGAACACAGGCCGCACGCATGCCAGGCAAGAGTGCTACTGCTTGAGCCACATCCCCAGCCCCACTAAATGCAATCTTGAGATACCATCCCATTGAGGCTTATGGATTCAACAGGTGAATGTTGGAGGATAAAAACATTCAGCACACTGTACACCATATAATTGAGGAATCCAAGCACAATCATGCTGGTCAATGCAGCCCTTGGTGTTCCTGTTTGGTATAAGTGTACTGGAGTCCCAATGTCAATACTTTGAGTTGAACGTGATGGGGCAAAGATAAAAAAAAAATAGGAAAGTATATTGGTCTGCTGATAAAGGAGGGTGACCTTGAGGACACTAATCCTTATGAATTCCAGCCCAGTGCTTCGGTCTCTGTCCCAACAGGAGCCCACTATGACCATGGAAGAGGACCTGTGGAAGGGTTTGGAGGAAAGGTATCACACCAGCAACTTTGACTGGATGGGCTTCTATGAGACTGCAGAAAAGTGAGCCAGTTTTCAGGGCCCAGAGACTACTGGTGGGGGATCATGGTTTGCACAGCAAGGTCTGGTATAGCCTGTCACCTACCTATATTTTGGCTGCGAGGCATCTAGCTCTCCAAAGAGTAGCTCCCTCTAGCTGGAGGCCTGGGCATTCTCTCTGCAACAATCCCAGAAACTCCAGGCTCCATACTACTGATTCCAATTCTGCCTTGAGTTTCAGGGTCAGGATGGGAGGAGTAACCAGCCCAGCCAGAGGATCTGCTTCTGCTTTGCTGGCTCTGCAGAGGAGAAAAGTAGCACTGGATTTACTCAGACCACATGCCTGGGAACTGGTACTTCTTTATAAAGTGGGGTCGATTATAACTCATGAAAGTGGCCGCTACTTCATCCAGATGTTCCAGAAGAGGGTGGAGGTAGGGCCAGCCAGCACCTCAGATGCCCCAAGGACACGTCACTGGTCTTTACTGCCTTTGCTCTATGTAATCCCTACCATTCTAACAAGGGAAGAACCCACCCTCATTGGAAGCAACCCAATGTTCTCAGCTTAGCTTTCACATGACCCTGCCTATAATTTGGTCTCCCAGGTGATCCTTTCAGGGCCCATGGTCCCAGCCTCAGTACCCCTGAATTGGGTCAAGACCCCTGGTATTTTCTGACATAAATCACATCCCTCACTAGTTTCTAGAACTAAACTGATCATGTGGTCCTGGAAGAAACAGGAGAGAGCCAGAATATGGGTCAGCTAGGGGCCTTGCCTGGGTCCCTCTGACATGATTTCCCCTCAGGTGCTAGTTGATGTAGTGTTTCCCAAGAATTGCTGTTCTGTCTGTGTAGCATCTCCCACCTAGGACTGGCCTGACCCACTCCAGGACACAACTCCATATCCCTGCCAATAGCTCCTGACTGGTAGCTTAGAATAATCCATACCCTAGAATCCCACAACAGCACCTGCCTGGTATGGATAACCTAATTCTCAGTTCAGCCTATGCCTGCCTTACCCAAATCTCACCAAGGTTCATCGAATTTGAGGATGCAGAGGAGATGGAAAATCCAAGGATGCAGTTGTCAGGGGTCTTCCAGTGCCAACCTCCTCCTGCAATTCTGAGGCTGGAAATCCCAAGGCCTCCACTTCCCGAGGCTGTACTACAGCCAAGTAGGGTTCCCACATTCACACAGTAGCTTATGATAGTGTCCAAACAGTGACAAAGGCTAAGGCAAGTTGTTGTCCCAAATAAGAACCTTTCCTTCAGTATTGGAGATTCAGCCTTATAAGCAAAAAAGCCCCTAGCACCTGAGGTCCTGGCCACCCATCTTTGAACTGTGTATTGACTGGGCCAAGTACAGATATCCTTTCTCTCCTGTGTATCCAAAGAAACAACACAAGATCTGCCTGGGACTTGGGTCCTGGTAGGGTAGAGTGCATGCAATACCATTCGCTACAAATGTCCTCCCACTTGACTCTCCTAGATGTTGTATCTGGTGCACTGTTATATCCCTCGGGTCCTGGGTCAGGTTGTCCTCATGAATGGCATACCAGGTTAGGTCTCCTGAACCCTGCCTACTACCAAGTGTTTGGGATGAACATGGATCCCTCATTCACACACTACTCTGATCCTCCCTGTCCTAGTGTGCAACTCCAGAAAAACCAACCCTAAGATACAGTCTGCCCGCTCATTAGCAGCCAAACCCAAGGCACCAGAGACCAAGGTGCCTGAGATAAAGACACACAAGAACAAGGCACGCAAGAATAAGGTGGATAAGACCAAAGGGCCTGAGACCAAGGTGCCCAAGGAGATCCCACCTGAAGCCATCCAAGAGTACATGGACATCATGGATGAGCTATTCAGGCCTACTAACTTTTCTACATGGGAGCCCTCCTACTTGTCCACAGAAGAGCTTTCTGCAAATTTAGGAGAGGAAGGACTGGAGCAACAGCCAATACAGGATGATTTATACCCAGATCCAAGTCTCCTGAGCTATATTGATGAGGACTTTGTCAACATGGTGAGCTATACCTACAATCTTGGTGTATACAAGGTTTCAGTACTCATGGAATTGAGCTTCCTGACCTAGAATCTCAGCATTTTATGTGTGTGTGTGTGTGTGTGTGTGTGTGTGTGTGTGTGTGTGT